TACGATAGTGAATGACAGATCTCTGATTAGAAGTGCCAATACAAAATCGATATTAAATTAGTTCAAAAAATTAGGTTTAAAGTTTTTGATTGCTAGACAAATTTACTTATAATTACTAAATAGTATAAAAATAAATTTTAATTATATTTAATACTACATACTGTATAATTTAAACTTAAAAACTATATATAATGTATACCACAATATACCATACTTATCTAATAAGTTATATTATACTGGTTTACTATATACTCCAACTAGCCAAATGTATGTTTTAGCTATTTGTACATATGTAGTAAACTTTCATAAAATTTTAATATTTGGGCAAGCTGTGCCACTCACGCTATTTTCCATAACTAATCGTTCCAACTTTTATATTGATAAAGCAGTCTATTCAATCACTACAGTGCTTTAAAAAATTATGTTTAATCGATTAAATAAAAAATTAGTAACTACAAAATTTCAATTTAAAGTACTATGTTATTGCAAACGATGTAATGGTAAACTTGTAGATACAAGAACTAGAAAAGCTCATGAATTAATAGAAAAGCAGGATCAAGATTTAATTACCGAATTAATGAAAAATAAAAGTAATGCTCAAGATGGAGATATAACAATAGATAATTACCAGGATAAAAATCTGGTTTTTACCAGTAACAAAAACGAAAATACAATAATACAAATGATATTATCACTCCAAACTCGGATATTTCAGTTAAACCTTCTAATAAACCAAATCTTAATTCAAAAAATATAAATGATTCCTGGATATTAATTTGTATTTTTAAGTATCAAGAAAGATTCTGGTTTTCAGATACTACAACCGAATTTTTTATAAAAATTTTTAAGTTGGTTTTGACAGATGTCGATAGAAAACAGTTTAATAATTTTCTCTTTATGGCTTATATGGCCAAGAAGTTACTAGAAATTAAGAAAAACAATAAAAACAATAAAACCTTCACGATTTGTCCTAAATGTAATAAATTGTATTATGTTGATACTAATAATTCAGGATTTGAGTGTACCCACGTTGAATTCCCTAACCATCTGATGCAAACTCAACACCAACCTTGCAGGTTCGAAGTACTAAATAAGGTGCTTGTAAGCGATGGATATATTTGACATCCTAAAATAGTATATCCATTGCCATGTTTGAAGGCCCAAATATCTACTATATACCAAAGACCGGGATTCAAAGATCTGCTGTCTAAATGGGTCAAGCATAGTAACGAATCTTATTTGATGTCTGATATATACGATGGAAAAATTTAGAAAACTTTTCCCATCAGACATCAATAATTTGGAATCTTTATTTTTTACCACTAAAACCGCAGATTTACACCTAGGATTAATGATAAATGTGGATTGGTTTTAACCCTTTAAATCTGCTTCTTATAGTTGTGAAGCAATATATAGTGTAATCTGCAACCTACTATGTGATATTTGGTTTAAAAAAGAAAACATGTTGATTCTTGCCCTTTTACCAGGACCAAAAGAGGTCAAGTCATATAAAATTAACAATTATCTTGCCCCAGTTATAGATAATTTGTTAGAGTTTTGGAATGGTATTAATTTACCAATAACTCATAACTATTCTTCTGGTAGAAGTATTAGAATAGCAGTAGTTTATTGCAGCAATGATATTCCAGTTGCGAGAAAATTATGTGGCCATATATCAGCATTAGCCGGATGTCATAGGTATTTTTTTTTTTTTTGGTTCTACTACCGAATCCTGAAAGCCATTTCTGACCGGGGTAAAATAGCCACCCAAAATAGTTTTGACTATCATGTGACAAGTATATCGATCACCAAAAAGTCATTTAACTTGAACAAGCAATATACTCAATAATCATAATATTTATTATAGTCAGAAAATAAATATTCTGTTGTTGTTACTATTTGGATTAATCATTTTGCTCAAATAAATTATTAGAGTTATAATATTCCAAAAGAGCATTCAAAATAACATCTATAAAATTTTCTGGTATAATTGTATTTGCCTGATTAGTTTTTATAATTTTAAATTCTTTTTTATTTATTGTCACGGCTGAAGCTGGAAACGGTTGATGCTGGAAATTAGGGATCTTGATTTAAAAATAAAAACCCTACCAAATCTACTTATACTCTTTTATTATTAAAACTACTACTAAACCCTAACCCAGCTCTAAAAAAAACCCCCTAACAAAAGGCCCTAAAAATTCTCGAAAATTTCATATTAAAATAATTGAAATTTCCAGCATCAGCCGTGACATTTATTATTAGTGGAAATTTGGTTATGGCGAATGATATATAGAATTGAAGAAAACAAACATTTACTAAATCAATTAATACTTTACTATTATGATCCTAATCATGATGAATTGGCAATACTATATACTTTTTTGGATAGCAATTTTACCTGGTTTCATTTTTCTGAAAGAACGTATAATACCGACTAATTAGCCAGCTTTATAACTAATGCCAAATAATTTAGTTTATATTACATTCTTTTAGAAAATGGTCGTGTAGAACTTTTTTTTTTCTTATTATTTTTATTTTTTCTTACTTTTTTTTTTTTGACGTCATAGGTGTTATAAAAAGGCAAGTAACGAAAAAGAGCAAAGACCAAATTTTGGAGATTTCGACAATATGGATTATTGGTTTAGAGCAAGAGATCCTATCGAACATCGTCGAAATGCCTTAATTTGAAAAAAACATTTAATAAAAAGTGACAGAAAACAACATTTTAGTCAAACTCAAGTTAGATGGTCTGAAATGCTTCGCTTGCCTTATCACAATCCAATAACACATTTAATTGTTGATCTGATGCACTGTTTGTTTTTAGGGGTTGCATGTTGGATTGTGAAATTATAGCTTGAAGACGGAAAAATTTCAAAATCGGATCTCGAATTAATGAAGCAACAGGCAACAAATATTAAAATACCAACTGACCTTGGTAGAATCTCATTTAAAATACCAACTGGCGAAGGATTTTCTATATTTATAGCTGATCAATGGAAATCCTTCATTATGATATATACAATCCCACTAATGTGGGATCTTTTAGACATTCAAGACAAAAAGATTTTGGTTAACTTTGTAAGCATTTGCTTTTTGTTAGTAGCACGAATCATTGACATTAATGTGTTGGATTAAGCACAATCCCGGTTATTACAAGTTGCTTACTTGGTTGAAAAGAATTATGGTCTGGAAGTAATTACTCCAAGATTCACCTGTCACTCCATATAGTCGAATGTTGTCGAGACTACGGCCCATTATACTCCTTCTGGTGCTATTTATTTGAGAGAATAAATGAAATTTTGGGTAAGTATTTTAATAATAAATTTCACACTTATCAGTTATTACAAACCTATATATGTACGTACGTATTTGGCTCAAAACTATTTGATGCTAAATTATTATGCCTTATAGCATATGTATATATCATGTATCCAAAATTACTATTTAATTCTGTGTGATAATTTAGAATCACATTGTTTTGCAGCTACATAGTCAAATATGCTCTATATAAATTTCTTAACATGTGCAGTATAGCTTGGTCTTAGCTTCTAATAGCTATATGTCTTTTGTTCTATATAAATGCAAAATTCTTAAATAATAATTTATCAGAATAGTTTATGAGAAACTATTAATTTTGCATGTGCATACTTGCCTTTTTTTTATTATTATTCCGGAGTGAGGTTTGCTCTAATAGTTTATTATTCTCTTTAGGTTCCTTCCCAAATAGTCACCGCCAAATAGAGTCAGAGCTATTACGAATTATTTTGCAGAATTGGCAACTTGATGACCTTATATCTGCTCAATCGAGTAACTTGAAACTTCTCAAAGGTTTAAGCCTAATACGACCAAAAGCAGCAGTGGGAAGCTTAGCAGCCTATAACAATTTGGAGTTTAATGAACTTCGCTATTTTAGGCAGATTTATCAGCTCGAAATTGAAGATACAATTACCGATATTGAACCTTTTCCCAGCAAAATGCTGTCTCCTAAAAAAGCAAATTTTGGATTGCCAGATAATGTATATAATGTACTGATGGCTTATTATAATAATGCATATGATATGAAATTTTTGTCAATTAGAGAGGCAACTCAGATAAAAGTAAAAATTTCTGACCAAAAAATTGTTGTCAGATCTCAAGTAAATCAATTCGGACGTGTTCAAATTGGAGCTGAAATATTTGGATCAGCTGATACGTCTCGATATTTAAATAATTCATTTATTCTTGCAAAGTTCGTACAAGAAAATGGTTCTATAGAAATATTTCCAGGCCAGGTCTAATATTTTTTTGAACACGAAGTTAATCTACCAGGAACAAGAGATATACATTGATTGGCTTATGTAAGATGGTTTAGGGCTGCTCCAAACTACAAAACAAGATTTCACTTTCAAGTTGATGATATTCAAAGCAATGTAGAAATTTGGGCTCAAGACTTTTACAATATTGACAGAGATTGTATTATACCTATTTATAATATATTTGGTTGATTTGTACCTGCTGAATATAAAATAGGCAAAAAAAAGCCTATTAAATATATGGCTGTTATTTCTGTAAAAAGAAAATTTTATATGTAATCCAGTAATATAATCTACTTACTGAATTTTTTAATTTAAAATTGATACATTATAACAAGGTTCTGGGTGGGATTTAATCTGATCTTTCTCAATTATTATTTCTTGAAGTAGAGTAGTGCAGTATACATTATATATAGTAGATATACAATATGTATAGTTTTTTAAGTTTAAATTATACGATATGTAGTATTAAGTATAATTAAAATTTATTTTTATACTATTTAGTAATTATAAACAAATTTGTCTAGCAATCAAAAACTTTGAACCTAATTTTTTGAACTAATTTAATATCGATTTTGTATTGGCACTTCTAATCAGAGATGTCATTCACTATCATATTGATTATGCGATTATACAGAATTAATCAGATCACATTTAATTTATTAATGTATTTTAATATAATGAGGTAATTAATTAATGAGAGAATGAGGCAATGCAAAGGACTGTAATTATTTACCAATTCAGAAGCAATTTATTTGTATTAATGAATAATTGAAATTTTAATTGAGTTGGTTCAAACTAGTATTTAGGTTAATTAGAAAAAGGTATTATCTAGTTTAGGTTATAGAGCTTCGTATTTGAACTTTAAGTTATGCGAATATTCAATTAAATTACTTTTACTTTATTTAAATAATGTAATTTACTAAAATTTAGGTATTTATTCATGATGACAAAATGTCATATATAAAGTTATTATCTATCTGAAGTTGCAACTTTAGATATATTAAGTTGCATCTAACCAGAATTATATATATGAAGATCTAATTTCATGAGCTTAATTTTAGTCAGATCAACTTTATATCTAAAGTTGCAACTTTAGATAAATGGTAACTTTAAATATAACAAAAGACTATTTTATTATTTATTCATTTGGAAAATCAATATTTTTTGCTTATATTCATATTTTACTAACCACTTTTATATATATTATGATCAATTATCACACCTACACTTCTGAATTACTAATATCCTTAATTAATTACACTTTCAACTTATGATTATCTATTCTGACACATGTTCTAAAGGTCATATGAGATATCAAGTTCATATGCACGTATCTTCTTTGGATATTAAAAGCCAATTCAACTAAATATGCAATACAACTAATTTTTTTTTTTAGGTATAATACTCTATATTAAATGTATAAATTTTTTATTCTACTTTATACTAAACGTATAATTTTTTTATTAGTTTTATTACACAATGTATAATATATAAATTTAGTATTATATTTATTGTAGTATACTATATACTATATACCTTTAACCAACTATACTATACATGTTATTGTAATACTGATTGTACCTGGGTAGATATTTTTATTATATAGCTATACTAAGTTACATAGATAACCGGGTAATTTAATAATACCCGGGTAGAGACATTTTTATTATATAGCTATACTAAGTTACCCAGATAAACGGGTAATTTAATAATACCCAGGTAGAGATTTTCTTGATGGGTACAATCTCTAATTCTAAAGCTAAAACCAACCAACTATCTAACCCAACACTCTAAAACTAACACACAAGAGCCTCAAAACCCTAAAACCTTGAGGTAGAAGGCGTTAAAAGACTTGGTACGAGTTCTAAGACTTATGGGTCTTGCTGCGGTGTATTTAGATATCAGGATAAGTATGGCCTTAAACTATGCTTATACTAACTCCTTATATACTACAATTGGAAGCTAAAAACAATTCTTCTTTTAAGCTTAAGCACAACAGAGTTCAGTATTTGATTTCGATCAGTAAGATTCTTAATGATCGTCACGTGAGTCACAGGAATCGCAGTATCAATAGATAATCAAATTGAGGTAACAATGACGTTATATCAGTTATTGTTTTATTATAAAAGGGGGTTTGGATTACTAATCGATACTTTCTCTCTCTGATTCTTATAAAAAAAATTAAGAATGTAGATAAAGCGAAATTACAAAGGCAAGAGAACTTATATAACAGATATTTATTAAAGGGAAACTTTGTAGAGCTAACATTTCAACTCGAATTTTGAAGATAAAGGCTTAACTCCAGTTCTGAACTCTATGTGAGTTATCTTATTTAAAGGAGATTTTGTCATCTTTATATACATATTTCGTTATACTAATTTTCTATTAAATTTAACGTATATAACATCTAACTAATATAACATATTTAATATCTATATGTTAGATCTGTTCCGAACCATCTCGATCTACTACACAGAAAAAAATTTTTTTTTTTTTTTAATATTAAGGTGACCACTTAGGCCCCTGGCACTTTATTAGTTCAAATGGGTGGGCTATCTGAAGACGGCTTACATATTATATCAGTATAACGAGAGTACAACTAGTCACACGTACAACTTTTGGTTGCCTATTTAAG